CGTTGGTAAAAGAGTAGCCCAAGAGTTGGCGGTGGGTGGTGATGACTAGCTGCCTTCCCTCTAGTCTTACACTGCTAAATTAGGGACGGCTAGCGCAGATAGCCCTCGTGTAGCTTTGCGCGAAATTCCAAAAACAAACAAACAAACATTTAGTATGGGTGCAAAATTTCAGGTTTCTAGGTTCTTTGCTCTTGGAGCTATGACACACAGACACACACACACACATACTATTTTATTATTATTATTATAGATGAGAGTTTATTTCTTAAAGTGTTTCTTTACTGATAACAGTCTTTGTGATACTTTCTAAACTTAAGATTTGGTAATTATATTTGTGATGGAGTTCTCTTAATTATGGGTGACTTAGAAAGAAATTTTCTTCTATATTCATTCTTTTATTTGAAAAAAGTTTTGAAAAACAATACAACATTATTTAACAACATTGTATATCAAAACTGTATTTACGAACTCATAGGTGGTGGCCTGTGGGGGCATGTATCCCCCCTACATTTTGACCCAGTAGTGAAGTGCCACTTTAAATGGGGAATAGAGACTTGTATATAACTGTTATGGGATGTTGTTTTTCAGTTTTTAATTCAATGGTCATGGTTAATGTAGCAGATAATGTGCCCCAAATTCATATATGTTTCTTTGCCTATGTACAAACTGACATAGAATTAAAAACATATCAAATTTAGAAACCCATTTGTAGCTTGAGAACCAAAACCGTACTATTAGTGATAAACTGTGAGTTACATATTTGTTCATAGTTAGTTATCACTGGAATAAAGAAAATTAAGTTAGTTATGTGGTATTTAGATTAACCTTTTTTACATATTCTTATGACACAGTAAAGGCTAATGGTTCCTACAAATTGAAATTTATTTTATATATGTGTAAATATTTTGTGGTATAAGGGAAAAATAAAGATGATAGTCCAGAACTGTGTTTTGTTATATATAGTGATAGTGGAAAAGGCCTTTTAGCATATTCATTCCCTATGTCACAGTGAAGTTTTACAGCTCACATGTTTTCTTTACGTTTTTAGGAAAAGCAGTATCAACTTATTTTAACTAATAAACAACATGTATCAAATGTAATAATAGTGATCTGTAATGTTGAATGGGTACATATGAATGCAGTGAAGTTCTAACACATGAAAAATATGAAATAAAGGAGATACTAACTGTATTGAAGTCAACGATTGCACTAAGGATTTTAAAACGTGGATCCAGGAATCTTCTGTACCTTAAAATTTAGGGTCTCTCTTAAAGATGTGAGGTTTAACATGTCCAAGTGTGAAAGGTACAAGCTATCTCTTGTAAGGATACTTTTTCTGTGTGTCTATCTGTAGTTTATAATCAGTGTGTGTGTGCAGGGTTGTCTCTCAATTTTGAGAATTGTTTGTAAAATTTGTGATCAGTGAAAGTTTGAAAACACTAATCGACCATGTTAGCCCATTTTTCCCTATAAAGTTAAGTTAAAATGCTTCTAAAGAAATCAGGTTTTTATTGAAGTTATTTTATCAATGACCCTTATGAAGAAAAAGTTGATGAACGTTAAGACTTCATAATTATTTTAAAAACAATAACACATAATTCATGTTACTTTAATAAGAATTCAGCATCAGACAAAACCACTAATCCATGCATGTCTACTTGTCAGTATTTAGTCTATCATTTCTTTTTCTTTCCAATGTAATGTAACACAAAACTAACTTGTAAACATTTTTAATTGGATACAAATTTTATAAAGTTTTAAATGTTTAATGAAGTTTCCTCTAAAATAAAATATAAAATAGGAAAATATGGTTAGTTATATCCATTGCTGTTATGCTAAAACGTAAAAACATATTACATTTGAAGCTTTTCAACTTGCTAACTTTGTTCTGTTTAGATTTAAATACACAATAACCTTTTTTTTGTGATGCATTAGAATAACAAATCCTGATGGAATAAAAACAAATTTCAGATGTGTATCCCAACCATTATAGGTATTTTCTCCTGACATTTTTAGCACTCAGCTTTTTTTCATCTCCAAAAGTTCACTTTCATCTGGATCATCATTTCATTTAATAAAAACATAGTGTTAATTCCCAGTCTTTAAGTCAGGTGTTTTTTCTGGGGTTGTTGAAGTTATGTTTAGGTTCATCCTCGTGTTTGTATGTATCATTATTTTGAATTAACATGTTCTTCTGGAATATTTTCAAGAACTTGTGCTGATTGGCCAATGTAAACCTTATTATAGCACTGCAATATATCACACACAAGTCATGTGAACATAATTTGGAGTTAACTAGTCAAAGGAAGTACCCTGTTAGTATAACTGAAAAGTTTTTACAATATTTGTTGTACCTAACGATGTCAGGTTTTATCTTTTGAAACGTTGTAACCATACATATTACACTCTGTGTATCTGATATATACATGTTCTTAGTTGCAAAACTTATGAACACATTTCTTCATTGAATAAAGTGTGGTATAATTTGTTCATTAAGTCAAACCAACTAATCAATAAAATTGTTTAGTAAGAACAGTATCACCATTTGAACAAGTAAAATGGAGTACACATGTGTGCTATGCTGTGAAGATCAAGATTAAAAATATTTTTGTCAAACATTTGTCAAAATTTTATAAAACACAGCTGTATATATTTTATAATTATAGTGGAAGATCTAATGTATTTGGGTGTATCACCTTGTAGGTAGCAAAGTGTGTAATGTTTATTTTATTTGCTTATTTTTGGGTGGAACACTAGTAATTAATATGCCTGAAATGTAATGATGTGGTATGCTAACTGTAGTGTAGTGACATGTAAAAGTTTGGATATCATGTTAGTTTTAATGCCAATGTTTATCCATAGTACCTGTTGTAAGATGGTTGAAATTTGTTTTGAAATACAAATACAATTATAAATAAAGGAAAAACGTTTCTTTATAACTTTCCATGATATACTTTAAATATGATTTTATAATCAGGCTTTTAGGTTAATATATTTTCTTAGGATTACAATATTTGAGAAATATAGATAACCTACCAACTGGCTTTATCTAACATTCATTCACAGTTTAAAACAATATCTTACTTCTTAGGGAGATACTGGAGATAGGGGTTCTCCAGGGCAGGAGGGTTCTAGAGGGCCATCTGGGCCACAGGTATGACTTTGATACCAAAAGTATGAAATATGCTCTCATTTTATTTGAAGTATTATTGCATGCCTATTAAAGTAATACTGTAACAAATTAAGCTAACAATGTTTAAAAGAAAATTTGAAATGCTTTTTTCATGCTTGTGAACAATTTGATACTTTATAATATTTAGCATTTTATTTTTTCTTATTGTATTTTATTAGCTGTTTTAGTTTTTGATGACATTATTCCTTGTTATTTCCGATACAGTTACTTACCTCTTCTCACAGTTACTGCTATTCCATACCCCATATTTACTCTCACTTTGATTCAGATTATCTCCTGTGTCTGGTCTGTGCTTTACAGTGTTACATGTCGTGCACAGCACCTTTCCATGGCTCTCGTTCCTATTTGTTTATACATTGGAATCCATCCATTTCTCGTGATGTTTCTCCTATCACCTATACCAGTTGGGTTCATTAGGTTATCCATATTGCGTATTCCTCCCTTTCTCCTAAATCTTGCCAATTGTTCTGTGTATCATCCTATCAGTTCCATCACCTCACAATGTCTTTGTCTGCTAATTTCTATCATCCTTTGGAAGAGATTATCCAGACCACTCCTCACATTTTTGAGTCACACTACTTGCATCATCTGGAGGTTTCCTGCTCAGCCAGATATCATCTTCCCCCTGTAGCCATTGGTACAACATTGAGTGGGTAATTATTTTATTTCATTTCTTGATTTTTTTCAGGGGCCTACTTTACATGTTATGGATCATACTCTGTGGTAAGTAGTGCCTGTCCAGGTATAATGATATCCAAAATCTATAAGGTCTATAATACTCATTGGTGAGATGAGGTGTTCCACAAGACCACTTGCAGGTTCTTCCTCACAGCATGTGTTTGTACTGAACCGTACACTCATGGACTGACATGAGTAAAACAGAAAGAGATTGCTGCCCATCTCTAATATTCCTTAGATTTCCAAATTGGGAACGGTCTGCCTTTCAAAATAGGGATTTGTGGTGACCACTTGCACTTTCTTCGATGATGCATTCTTCTGGACTTTCCATTGAGTTTCTTCACTCCTTCTTCCAGTGGATTATGGGAGTCCTTACCACTTACCACCTTGTAGCTCTTTGGGTGGTGGATCATGAAGGAATCTTCTTGAGTGTGCATAATTCCACTTAGTTGAGAGAAATAGTGTCATTCTGCCTGTTTAGAGGGTGTGACAATCTTTCTGCTGTGGATCTGATGTTTTTCTGGATGCTGCTGGTCTGGACTGGAATTTTCCATCTATTTTGAAGTTTGCTCCTCCAGCTGAGAACCCTCCCTCCTACTGCCACCTACATGTTGGTCCCTGGAAAACATAACTCCTCACATGTGAATGGGCTGGAAACCTACTCATACTGCAACCTGGATGCTACATCCCCAATGTCGATTGGCTTTGGATTGGAATTGACCCTCCCTGTTGCATTTCCACCTTTCTGATATTTTCTGGATGTACATTCCCAGAGTTTATTGTTACAGGTGTGCTGGATATGTGCACATGATGGTTTAGGTTCTCAGAATGGAGGCTCTAATTCCCTTCTGGTTCCTAGACCTGAGGTGAATGGTTGAGGACTGGTTGAGTGCCTCCCAGTGCCTCTAGTCTGGACTGAAGTTGATCTCCAGCTTATTGTCTGATGTGGCCTAGCCACTTTACACACATTCCACTTCATCCTAGATTTGGAATTGTTACCTTGTTCTGCCCTTTGATTGCAAAACCACACCTGTTGGCCCTACATGGGCAAAGAGTATACCTGGTTCAGATGTGGTGCAGTCTATCACGAGTTTGTTTCCTCTACATAGAGATGGCACACTCCATGGGTGCTTTTCATGCTTTTGAAGGGTACTCATCTAGGTAATTTTACACTGGTCCCCTCCACCTGCTCAATGTGGGATTCTAGCTGTAACTATGAGAGAAGGTAAGTAATCATATCAGAAGATACTTACCTCCCTTCCCACTTCTCATCTGCTGTCCCCACTTCTGGTGTCATTTTTCGTGCCTGATCTCAAAGTGAAGAGTGGGTTCAACTGCATAGTGATAGTCAGTTACAATAGAAAGGTTTGTCATATTTCTATTGGTGGAGGGTGTCACATGCTAATTTGCATGCTTAAACACAGCTGAACCACATGATATATATGTGGAATTATGTGGAAGTTTGAAGGCTAGTGGAAAACGAAAATTTGTACCCTAGCGGACAGTCAAGTCTAGAATAGCTGTAACTGTGAAAGGAGGTAAGTATCTAATGGAAATTTATTTTCGGTAGAGGAAAATATTAATCTTGGAAAGCATTTCATTCCATTTTTAAATTTAATTTTACTCTTGCTCAGTCATAAATTAAGAATAAATTGGATACTTTTTAGAGGTTGGCAAGGAAATGAAAACTTTATAATGTTTTTTTTTATATTTAGAAAACACAAAGATTTGGTCTTGCATAGTTGAAAAACCTTGAAATAATATTTTTTTTATTGAAAATATTACTAACTATTATCCATATAATTGAAGGGTTTAACAGGACCAATAGGACCCCCAGGACCTTCAGGACTGCCAGGACTTAACGGAAATGAAGGAAAACCTGTAAGTCTTTGGCCATAGCCTGCCAGTCAGTAAAAACATAAATAATGACTTGTATGTAATGCTGATTGTTTCTTGGGGTGAATTATGTTCTTTCTGAATATTTTCATTGTGTATTACATAAATACATACTGATATCTATTTTAATTAGCTTCATGTTAATTTGACGTTTTATTCCAGGGACCTCCTGGACCACCTGGGCCACCAGGACCTAAAGTAAGAATCAGTTTTAAAAATGAAATTTTATTCAAGCAATATCAAAACAATACTTTTATCACTATCAAGTTCATTAAAACATTGATTAAGTAAGAATGCCAGTTTTATTCTAAAATATAATAGTATCTTATCACTCATTACCTTTCCATTTCAAATGTAACTTTTCAGGAGCCAGTATGTAGTGCAACAGTTAATTAACAGAGTAACTATACTGTTGCATTATATTAGGCATAGAATTACAGCTTTACTGATTGTGATACTAAAGCCTAAAATTGCTTATTTTTCAAATTTATAGCCCTGATATTTTTGTATTCCCTTATTTGTGATAATATAAATAATTACACTATATCTGGAGTGCTCTGTTTAGTTTTCCATTCAGTGTTATTTAAAGATGTGCTTAGTTATCAGGAGACAAACATTTTTAGCTTTCACTTAAATAATAATGTATTTCAAGTACTTTATGGTAATATGAGGAATTTTTATTAATGAGTGTTTTTTATTAGTTTATAGGAACCTAGTTTTATTAGTGTTTATTAAATTTGTGGTTGATATGTGAAATAAGAAATTTGTGTTTAGACATTACATACATTGTCATATATTTCCAGGGTGTTGGTGGTGGCAGTGGCATAGAATTTGATGGGTATGGCAGCATACGTGGCCCTAAGGTAGGCTCTCTGTGTGACACATTTCAAATAAACTGATCATTTGTAGAAACTAAGACAACAAATTAATGTAATTAAAAGATCCATTATCTAATGCTTGGAACATATTTATTGGTGCAAAATCTATTATTCAGCAAAATTTACTTTTAATGTTATTTATATAAAATGTTCATATACTTTGTTTTAATCTTACTTGTGCACAGAAGCACATTATGCTAATACAATAGTAAATTTACAAACAACAATTTATAAGCATGATGAAAAACATTTTACGTCGAGAACCAACAACATGTTTCAATAAAACATTGGTCTGTCTCTGTCTGTCTGCAGAATAATGTGTTTTAGTCTCGTATACATATAGTTTTATGTTGCTTGTTTTAGTTACATATATACCCGCACCCATACACACACTTTATCTTGCTTAAATAAAAAGTTCAGCCACTTGGTTTTAATATTATATATTTAAAATGACTCTGTCTTCTTTTTTGTATGTTTTATATACATAACAAGTTTAGATATGTATATTTCAACCTTTTGTATGTTCAACAAGTCTAGCTACTTTGTACTTATAAAGATTAATCAATTAGGTATTGCAAAGTCTAGCATAATTATTTATATTTTTTAATTACCACTGTTTCAGTGACACCATCAGGGCAACAGATCATGGTGAAATGAATGGTCACCAAAATGTTGGTAAATAACAAAATAGTTATCTACATGGTTGGTGTCAATATGAGTAATTGTGATACATCTGTCTACCTTGTTTTTCAAACTATATATGTAAACTATGTCCACGTTTTTAGTTGTTCTAGTTTTGATGCAAAATTTTATTGTACTTGTACTAATATTTCTTCATTTTCAGGGTACATCGGGTCATGTAGGACCACCAGGTGTAGTAAGTTTATTTCTCTCTCTCTCTCTTTTTTTCTTTTATCCTTGTTCTTTTGTGTTTATAATGTGTAGTATATTTTAACTAGCATATAGCCTTTGAAAAATTATGGGGCAAGTACTACCACCACCAGCGTGTAATATACCTTAACCTCGCATTTCATAGCTAACTGAAAGAAAGAAATTTTGCAAAATCAAGCTTGACCAAGAAAGAGGCAGAAAAGCACAGTGGAAGCAGTCAAACATCAGTAAATTTCTTTGTGAGTTAATCAAAATTAGGATTATTCATGAAATGAATTTTTGGTGTATTCATAGAATAATTATTTGTAAAAAGTCAATTAGATTAACAACTTCTAATATATGGAAAAGCTACTGTGTTTTGGTAACAGTACTTTCCAACGATGGCTTTTATGGCACGTTGCTTAGCAACAAAAGTGTGAGCTAATATTGTTGTTAGTCTATGTACTGAAAGTATAAAATGAAATGTATAGACAACAAAACTGGAAAAATATTTGGTGACTTCTTAATTTAGAGTCTGTTGATCAGAGAGTTTTTTTTTTTATTAAAAATTTTGGTGATATAACAGAAAATAGCTTAATTCAGAAATGATTTAAGTTTAAATCAATATTTTTACTTTCATGAAAAATTTCATGCACTTGTCTCTAGGCTAGGTGATCCCACACTACATCTTTACTTTAGATTTGTTATACCGACACTCACTACATTTATAAGGTTTCATGGCACCCACCCTCGCAGTCCCTTTACACCCCATCACTAAAATCATAATGGGCTGACTGTAATCGAACTATTTTATCTGGATAAATACATTTTGGCTTTTATGACTCTTTTTATTTTAAGAAATCAAGCGTGACATGATGTGACATACACTGACTTTTATATATGTTAGATTAAACGTTTTATTTATTGCCAAATCAAGAACATAAGTTGGTATTGTTCTTAATGTAAACATTTCAAAAAGGCTTTTCAATCAATAAATCTTTTATTCTAAATATGAAATAGATTAATTTATATATTTATTCATTTATCTAATTTTACAGTAAGTAATAAATAAACATCCCCTTTATTCACGTAAATTTTGTGATAAATATCGCTTGCAAATATACTTATATTTGATTACAAAATATAAAGTTTATTAATTCAGGTTAGTTTCATTAGTGCATGTCATAACACTGTGTTACTTGAACTTTATAGATAATGTATAGTAAAACAGTGTTATGTTCCCTTTAGGTATAGAATACCCTAGCACAGTATTATACATCTTCTCTGGATAGCGTATCATAAATTAGTGTTTTACATCCTCTTTAGATAGTATACTGTATTATTATGGAGTTCAAAGACCCCTCATGATTTCCAGAGGCCCCAATGTACTGATCAAGATCGTCTATTATCCTCAATTACTTCTACAGCTATCCCAAGAATGTCTGTATCCAAAACATAACCCATTAGGACACTTGCTTGTGCTACCTCAGTATGTATGCCACATTTGGGTCTGCTGAGTTGTGAGTGGGGATATGAACACAGTTTCAAACATGGCACCCTTGGGTTCCTGAGAGAGGGTCAGGAACACAGAATCTGACATTTAATGACTCAACCTACTCCTAGACCCAAGACATACCTGCATGACTTTCCTCATGTATTTTAGTCACCTTCATAGAGAGTCTATGCCATATAGATAAAAACATCCTATGGGTCACCCCAAGTCTACATGGCAAGTTTGGTCCTGCTAGGTTCAAAACTCTCGGTAGAGTTCACTAACGACCAAACAAAGAACATAATTTAAATAGGATTAAACAGTATTACAGCACATACTTTTATAGGTAATATACCATAACACACAGGTTAATATCTGATGTTGACAATAGAGCATAGCATTGTGTTACACTGTTGTAATGGAGTAATGTGACACCATTTTAAACACACACACACTAACTGGTACACTGTAGCACATGATAGGTTAAATATTACTTTATTATGATGCTAAAAATTTACCTCAGAATAATTTTTATACTATTTAATGTATAATTGTTGTAATGGAGTAATGTGACACCATTTTAAACACACACACACACACTAACTGTTACACTGTAGCACATGATAGGTTAAATATTACTTTATTATGATGCTAAAAATTTACCTCAGAATAATTTTTATACTATTTAATGTATAATTGTTGTAATGGAGTAATGTGACACCATTTTAAACACACACACACACATGTAGCACATGATAGGTTAAATATTACTTTATTAACTAGTATGATGCTAAAACATTTATCTCAGAATAATTTTTAAACCATTTAATGTATATCTAAAATAATGTACATATTTTATTCTTGGTATAAAGCCTGGTGAACGGGGTGCTCAAGGAAAGCAAGGTCCACCAGGTCTACCTGGTCCTGTTGGAATACCTGGAGCAGCAGGGTCTCCAGGATTACCTGGTGAGCCTGGAAGCAGAGGACAACCAGGAATGCCAGGATTGCCTGGTCCTCCAGTAAGTGAGGTTGTGTAATATAATAAAACATCCATAACTTAGCTTTTAATAGTTATTTTACTCATAATGAAAATATACTTCTTTCAGTGTTTATTGACTGCTATAGATTAGAATAAAGAAACATACAGACAAATTTAAACAGATAGGACCCAGATAGTGATATAATTCTTCCAATAATAATTTAATTTAAAGCTTGAGGTACAATTTATCAGTTAATGATTTGTAATTTTACAATGAAATTATCATATGGAGTTTTAAACACAGTTTGCTGTAAAATACTTATGTAAGACATATTTATAAGAGTTCAAATTAATTTTCTAAATTGAAAAACCTAAATGAAATAAAATAATTTAAAACTTTATTTGTTTTATTGCTAGATATTGTAATGCAATATACAATGATTTTAAACTTCATATTGTATGAATCAAATGCTATGCTAAGGCTTCAGCTCACTTTAGTTTTTTGAGATTGAAGGAATACCAAATTCCAATGTGTCTTAACAGTGTTCAAAGTAAGTGGTTTCTGGTTGACCAAGACAATGAAAATTATCACCAGACAACTACAAACATGGCCTGATCCCATAGCAGCCTTGGCATGTAGCCCATGTTGGCACATTCAGATTACTGTATGAATTACAAGTGATATGTCTATGCACATCGTGTTCTGATTTCCATGAGGATGTGATTGTCAAGACTAAACACACTATTTACCAATAAGAGTGTTCATTATAACATCTTGCATATACAACCAATAACAGATTGCCACTTAAAAACCCAGACAAATTAGCATTCCCATAATCTTTTTTCGAGACTCAAGGACAACAGATTCAAGACTGGGATAATTTTGTAAAACCAGGACATCTGGTTACCCTAATTATACATCGTTATTTACAATTCTTTGTGAAGTTCTTCAATAAAATAATGATTTTCTATCAACCACTGAGCTTTGTAGTGTGATATTTGATTTAGTACAATGTAACACCAGGTTTGTAATTTTAGTAGTTAGCTAACTTGTTCATTCAGGTATGAACAACTCTAGTTTATTTCAGACAATGATAATTAGCTTGAACATTGTTTACTGAACAGCCTAATCTGGAAGTCTTACTTTGTATACTGCTTAACTTTTTTTAAGACCAAATAACTTTGCAACTATAAAGGTTTTTAATAGCTTAGTTACACTTTTTTTTCAGGGAAGGGGATTTACAGAAGAAGAAATGAGAGAACTTTGTGCCACTGTGTTGAGAGGTAAGTCTGCTGAAATGCTTTTTTTGCTTCTAACTCTACAGGAAAAGTAGCTCTTACTGCAAGAACTACTTCTCAGTAAACATTAGAAATTATGCATCATTAAAGTCTGTCAAAAGTAACTTATTCCAGTTTGGCTTAGATCAGTGTTAAGAGTGATATTTCTTAACAAAACCGGTTAAAATCAATTACATGAAAGATAAATGGACTAAAATTCTTCCAGGTTTAACTGCACCCTCGTAAGTCTTGTCCTGATGGCTTTCACTGCATGGTTTAGAGACATTGAGTAGAATTGTATTGCATAAAGTTTTGATTTTGCTTTTTAATTCTTGATGACTTCAATCATTGCTCATAAATAATATGTAGAACCACATTTCATAAAGTTTTTCCCTCAAATTTTGCTTACTATATTATTGCTGTGATGACATTCATCATTATTCATAGGTAGGCTGTAAAACCACATTCCCCATAACCATGTCTTCCAGTTAAAATCTTATGATTCTTAGCCTTCTTTAGCTATGTTGTGTGGTAGTCATTTACCATTCCATACCATAGGTTTAATCAACAGTACACTTTACTGTGGTGTAGGAAGGAGTTCCAAAGTTGGGGTGCTTGGGTAGACATCCCCCTCCCCCAGGATATTTATATATTAATAAAATATACACTTGTTATGTATGTCAAATATGTAAAAACCAAAGCACCCCCCAGTTCCAACATCTCTGTTTAATGGTATGGAATGCCTTATTTGTTGGAGTAGGACATTAGTAGTAATATGTTTGTGATATATCACAGTGAGGCTGATAATAATTCAAGTTACATCATTTTCTGCTTTGTTTTCAATAAGAAGAGTACATAATGGCATTAAAGTAACACACTATTTGTTGTCAAGGCATATTGCATCGATTTAAAATTGCCTCATAAACAACTGATATAAATAGTATTTCAAGACTTTGTGTATTGTAAATTTTCAATCTAATGAGTTCTAATATTGTGCCAAAGGCCTTGATGGCAACAGAATACCATAAAGAAAGAGTACTTTAAATCTTATTATACATTTTTCTTATTGGAAACCTGTATTAGTACAGAAAAGATTTATATAATTTAATAAAGTTATTATTAGTGTTGCTTTGATGTAATATCACAAACATTATCACTACATTTTATATTGTGATTAGTTTTATTATTTTAGTCACTTTATTTAAAGTTTTATATACAAGGAACCATAAAGTTAAATTTTAGAAAATTCCCTCCAGCAAACATTTTATATATTAAAATTAGATGTACCAATGGAAGAACCAGACATTTTGGTCAGCTTGTGTATCACAGTGTATATAAATTAGATGAACGAAATGAACAACCAGACATTTTGTACGGCTTCTGTATCACAGTTTATATAAGTTCGATCTACCAACTGAATAACCAGACATTTTAACAGCTTGTGTATCACAGTTTATATAAATTAGATGTAGCAACTGAACAACCAGACATTTTGACAGCTTGTGTATTACTGTTTATGTAAATTAGATGTAGCAACTGAACAACCAGACATTTTGGACAGCTTGTGTATCATGGTTTATATAAGTCAGATGTAGCAACTGAATAACCAGACATTTTGACAGCTTGTGTATCACAGTTTATGTAAATTAGATGTAGCAACTGAACAACCAGACATTTTGGACAGCTTGTGTATCATGGTTTATATAAGTCAGATGTAGCAACTGAATAACCTGACATTTTGACAGCTTGTGTATCACAGTTTATATAAATTAGATGTACCAACTGAACAACCAGACATTTTGGACAGTTTGTGTATTACTGTTTATGTAAATTAGATGTACCAATTGAACAATCAGACATTTTGGACAGTTTGTGTATCACAGTTTATATAAGTCAGATATAGCAACTGAACAACCAGACATTTTGGACAGCTTGTGCATCACAGTTTATGTAAATTAGATGTACCAACTGAACAACCAGACATTTTGGACAGCTTGTGTATCCCAGTTTATATAAGTTACATATTGGATTGAATATGCCCCAAAAATGATATGATGCCTTTAATGAGTTATATACTGTAACAATTGTAAATTCTAAATATTGTATTTATTTTGAATTGAGTAATATTATTAGGTTCTTAGAAATTTTAAAAATCCATTTTGTTTCCTAAGATTTTAATTAGAGGATACATTGTTTTAAATTTCTAGATTTCAAGTGTTTTTTAATTATCCAGAAACCATTAAACTTTTTATTTCATTTATTTTTTGTTTGCACAACTGTTTTTTGAACTTTTTGTTTTCTTAATCTCTTAACTAAAATGTCAATCAAAAATCATTTTTATGTTTTTTTTATTTTTAATGTATCTGATTGTGTTTAATGAAAGAAACTTCTACAGCTTATAAACTTTAAAGATTTAACACAAAATAGTAAAATCCTTTTGAAATATACCTGAATTCTAGTTAATTATCTTAGTGGTTTAGTTGGTGATTGTAAAGGCTAGTTGTCACTACAGTTATTTTGGCTACAAGAAAAATCTCAAGCTTTTAATCATAATGAGTATAAATCAAATAATATATATATCAAGATTAAACTTTTCAGTTGTGAAAAAGAACTTAGTGACATTTTGAGCAGAGCCTCTCATCAGGCTTGACTACCACATGGTAAATTAAATGTTTTTCATTCAGATGTAAGTTCCTATTTCATGTTTTGCTGAATATTAATACTACAAAAAACCAAATTAATTGATTGTCAATATACCATATGTAAAAACTTTTTGCAACAATGCATCCTTGAAGAGACAAATTAGAGTTCAGTTATAAACTTAACATTCATAGCCCTTGAGATTAGATATTTGTGATAGTATGATCTGGAGTAAACTATTCAAAACTAAATTTAACTGTAGTGAGAACAATGCTTGAAAGTACTTAAATACAAAAATACTGTGTATCTTGATTTGTTTGTAACTGCCCACCTAGAGCAATTAGCAGAACTGACAGCAAAACTAAGAGGTCCACCGGGGCCTCCAGGACGAGGCAAACATGGCCGTCCGGGTCCTCCAGGATTACAGGGATCACCAGGTATTGGATCATCTGACCATATGCTTCTTCTTGTATAACATTTTTCTCTTCCATTTGCTTGGGCTACAAGGTAGTAATTAAACTATAGTGACTATGTTGGAGATGCCATGTGTGTGTATGTGTTTGAGTGACTGAACTCCCAGATGATACTGTTATTTTAGTCTCCTAAAGTAAAAGTCAGTGTGTACAGATAGCCAGATATCTCATTAATTTAGCTAATTAATGCTAGTGCCATTTGATGAGTATTCTTATATACTCTTATCATCACATTTTTTGAAGAGAGTATTCACTTGGATACTGTCTGTTATTGCATATGTATAAGTGTCAACTAAATTCATTTTCTAAATTCAAATCCTAATTGAGAAAATTGCTTTTGGGTGTAAATTTCTACTCTCTCAGAGTTATTGCGTATGTTCTTACGTATATATCAGGGAGTAGTGTCACTGCTGAATGGTATGAACTTTACAAAGTCTCCCATATCTGTGTCTGGTTTCTTTCTCATTTTTATGTGTTTACACTAGTGTTTCATCACTGTTTCTCCAACATAGACACACACAAAAAACCTAAAAAATTGGGTTAGAAAAAATAGTTTACCCTGAAAACAGCCTTGCTATCTAAATCTATAAAGCTTAACATTGTTTTAATATCACTATATATTAGCTTGAAACAGCTTTGCTGTGTGATTTTCTAAGGCCTAACATGATGTTTGCTACCTTAACTCTCATTCTATGTTATACAGCTTGAAAGAACCTTGCTTGCTGATCATCTACAGCCTAACGTGATGTCTGCCACTTTAACTTTTAGTTCTGCGTAACACAGTTTTAGTATAGCTTTCTGATCATCTACAACTTAACATGATTTAACCACTCTAAATTTTTGTTTTATGTTACACAATTTGAAACAGCTTTGCTATCTGGTTCTTTAAGGCTTGATGTAATCCTAACTTTTTTAACTATATGTTCTTTATTACACAGTTTGAAACAGCCTTGCTATATAACTCTCAAACTTCACAAGATTTTAACTTCTCCAATTGCATGTTTTATCTTTCCTTAAAGAAGAACTTAACTAGAATGGTAGTAATGCTAACTCTGCTTTAAGATGCTGAAAATTCTGTTATTGTACTAAAGAATATAATCAACTCAAGAAAAAAACTTCTCTTGCATGGAAGACCCGGATGGACAAGTGCGTCTGCCATATGGATGTTACTGTCACTGCTAAGTCTAACATAACAGTGAATTCTTGTGGTTGTTTTCTTCCTATGTTTCCCCACAGAAAGGATGGATGAGCTAATCAGGGACCTAAGAGGTCCCCCAGGGTTCCCCGGCTATGGACGACGGGGAGCTTCGGGGCGACCTGGACATCAAGGAATCCCAGGTAGCTAACTTTGCTTGCTGATCTGTCACCCACTCTGTCATTGCCCTTTTTTAAACTTAAAGCTTGTAAGTTTAAGCAAAAATTGTTGTTACTTAGATGTTAAATATTCATTTATCTTTTTTTGAACTGTTGTACAGACCGTGCTTTAATAAAAATATCAAAATCTTGACAAATAATGTTCAATCATTTCGTTTCTCCTTCAAGTATAGGTACAATTACACTTAGAATTGTCTGTTTTTTATATTTTTGTTTGCAGTTAATCTTATTTAGTTTTCTATGCCAAGTAATTTTTCTGTACTTTAGTCTTACCTATAAAAGTCAGCAAACTCATCAATTTTATTTTGATATTTTTGCACATTTTAAGTTAGTTTTTTTTAGCTATTAAAACTGAATTAAATTGTTTAAAGTTTTAGATGTGTTTCTACGTGTTCTTCAGTTTAATTAGCTTTTTTTTAAAGGCAAGTAGAAAAATTATTTTTATTTTATCTACACAGATAATTTCATTCAACATAGTAATAGCTTTTATTTCCCAGCATATTCTTCAATTTTATTTTTAATCAAGTTTAGTTCAATAGTTTATTAGTTCACTGTAATTTTTGAGAATAAAGTCATTCACTGTGCTAGGAAATGTTTTGAAACATAATTATTTGCCAGCAGTCATTTAATATGGTAGTAAAATGTCGCAGCAATCGTATGTTGGCAGCAAATGACCGGCAGTAAACTGTTGTGATACCAGTAAATGTATATGCTGATATACATGTCTAAGTGAACTTGTGTATGTGGTGCCATGTGCATGTAGGATCATTACATGAAGTTATTTATGAGTATTGTTTGAAACAAATTGCTCAATTAAGTAATGAAACCAGTAAGCCACATATGAATGGAAATAAAAAATTTGATCTGGATGTTAAGACTTTGTGATGTGAGGTTTACTCTGATCTTGTGGTTTACATGCTATTCACAATGCCTTGAGATGGGTGTAAAGCAACTGATTGGAAATTTGAAGAAACTCTGGCAAACTTCTATTGTTTTTTCAAAGATTCACTAGCAAGACTTGATGACTTCAAGAATGAGATTGATGCTTAGACCTTCCACCAAAGCTTTCTAAACACTGATGGTTGAAGAACATCAGTGTTGTGGAAAAGTGCTTGTCCCTGCTACTTCATCTTAAAATACATGTGGGTGTGCAGAAAAACCCACCATCATCTAGTGCTGTTGTTTTCATAGAAAGTCTGGTTAATGCAGGCAGAGTGGAAGAAAGGTGCTCTGACACTATTATCAGGCAGTACAAAGAGTTTTTTTTTTCTCGTGACATCCCTGCAATCAACTGATTCACAAGTTCATATGTTTTAGAGAGAGCAGGACAGACTGGATGCTCTAAACTTCTATCTTTTGTCAGACAAGAAACAATTCCAAATGCTTTGGAGAGTTTGCAAAACTGACCTTCCCTGCCTCATGAACAGGCCACATTTGACAGGGTCTTTTCTGCCATTATAGAAACTATTATAGAAAAACCTACAAAGCATGTCTCTTAATGCTAGGAGAGTCATAAATGACCACATTAGACATGCTGGGGATGTCCTAGAGAAGTGCTTACCTTTGTTCGAAATGTGAGACAAAGGTATAAGATGTACATAAAATAGAAGTCCAGAAAGCATTAATCACAGAAGGTGACAGAGGAAAGGTTGAAGAAACTGTATTGGAACTGGAAGATCTCAAATGAGAAGGTCAGACGTGAGCCTGACATTAAGTTACTCCTTTCATCAGCTGATGAAAACTTTGAGAAAAGGAAAGAAATTTTAGCTTCCTCACAGTGGCCAATTCCCTGAGGAAAGGTATAAGAGTGAAGGAAGAATTCATGAAGGCTCTCATAGTGAAAATTAAACAGAAAATTTCAAACAAGAAATGCTCAAACATCTTAACTTTGAATTTATTATTTACAAATAATTCAGTAACATTGGAACACTGCTAGGCTAGTAATAAAAATATTACTTCCTTTCCACTATATAAAACATAAATTAATCAATATTTATATGATATGTACATTTAAAAAGTACACCCAGGCTCAGTGTCTTGTACAACTCACAGAAAATGGTACTTGAAAATCTAAAAATGGTAATTGAAAAATCATGAAATTTCATTTCTGCATAGATGCAGGGACCCTGTCATTGTAATGGAAATGGTAACAGAGTGCAGCATAGCTAAAAAAGGTATTGGTCAAGTACAGACCCAATGAGGCTTATGGACTAAGAAGTTCGTGGACACCAGGGATACATATACTGTGGTCGATTAGGGCATGAGCACGTGTGAAATCCATACAAATGTCATTTTGTTAAGGTAATCTCTTGATTACTCAACTACCTAATAGTAGTTGTTGGAGGAGAGTAATGCTGTAACTGGGCAGTTATAACCCTTTTTCAAGCTGATCTTTTGACCAATTAGAATTCACTGACCTTGTATTTTTGATATGTACTTTTACTAACTTAGGTGAAATTTTGGACACATTTGGCTATTTTGTCTTCAACTAATAAGTGGTGTTGAAACCTTTTTCTTTTTACAAACTGATAAGAATGGAACAAACTGTGATCATGAACAACAGTATGCCAGGGGTTCCATCTCAAACAAGATCTGATGTCTGAAGCCAACCCTAAGAGCTAGACTGATGTTTGATGTGGTGGAACCAATGGAAGAAGATGGGTTGTTACCAACATATCTGAAATAGGGACTTTCAGTTGTTAGATACCCAGAGGCAAGGCAAACTCTATTGACCTCAAACCAATCAGATGAACCCAAGCCCACTTTGGATGTACTGGTACCAGCAGCAGAGAGCCCAGCAGACTCAATCCCACTGGCAAAAACCACAATTACAGTCAGCATTAGATTCAAGAACCTCCCCAATGCCTTACTCAGACCCTGTAAAAAGAGAGCGTCATGGACATCTATATAGTGGAACACACCCATGAAATGTCCAGTTGATGGATATGCAACCACTTTAAGAAAGGCCCACCAGATGTGTGATTCCCTCCTATTGCAGGACCACTACATCCCGAAGCCAAGAAGGAAGTTTCTAGAGCTGAAGTCTACTCAAGAGTCAGCTGGGCTCCAGGGAAGTGTTCTGAAGCTGAGGGATAATGGCTAAGCTACAGTGACTAAGCTTTTGGTTGTGACCATCATCAGTAGGGTACCTGCTTATAGCTTCTCAGTAAGCCAGATACCACCACCAGCCCTGGCACTGAAAAAACAATGAAGGAGAAATCTGAGGAGGCATGCAATATAGTTACCAGTCTAAGGATTTGTGTTTCATCCTTGTGGTATATGAATCAGGCCCATATGCAGAATGTTTGAAAGGAGGTTCTACTTTGTGAGGTTCTACATATTGTGCAAAGCACAATCAGCATGTAAAGCATTTTAATGCTATGGGGATATGTGGACATGAGACTATTTCAAGCCAAGAAGTGCTAATGCTTCATGAGAAGAATGTAAAATATGTAGAAAGTGTTAAATACCATAAGCAGCTGTGCTATAACTATATCAGCATAATTTTTTTACATCACAAAAATAGGGGGTTCAGGCAAATCCCCTTGAACCCACCCTGTGTACATGCGTGTGAATATAGCATGCATTTCTATCCTTTTTGTATAATATCATGAATTTGTCATTTATTATGTATATGTCACATTTCAAAAAATAGTGATCCAGAAAGTGTTCTAGTTGCCTTTGTTCCTCAAGAAAAACATGTTCTTGCCCATGGGTAAAATTGCTGTGATGCTGCATATTGAGCAACGATAATAAAAGCAGTGTCCACCAATGGTAGGTCAGATGATATCTCCAGTTATGACCTCCTTTACGTTTCAGTGGGATTGACCAGCATTAGCATAGGTGGTGCACGTATCCTGAGAATATAGTGTTATAGATATTGGGTATATAACACCATAATCTCTTTATTAGCTATCTCTCTCTCTCTCTCTCTCTTAATTTCAAGTTCTCAGTTTGGTAACTGAGGTTTAAGTACTTTCTTTAAATAGTAATACTCTCCTGAAGTTTAATGTGTAATCTTAACTAAGTCTTATAAAAAAAAATCTTTATAAGTTGTTAGGAAAGTATAAAGAGTTAGCTATACAGTAAAGACACTGTTCTTAGCCTTGTGCACCTTATTTTGATTGTCTTTGATATATAAATAAAAACTGCTTCATTATATTTTTTTTTATTTGTATCCAGTCATTTTCTTTCACATACTCAAAGTCATAGAGTATGGAATTACTTAGTAATAGATATCTTGTTGAATCTTCTGTTCATAAAAGTACCTACCACACTTTTGTGCACCCTCTTCAGTCTCATGTTGTCTTCTGAAGAGGACGCACGAATCTGTCAAAACTAGATTCTTTAATATCAGGTTTCTGGCAGTTTGTTCAATTTACTATGGTTTTTCACTAATTGCTATACACAGTATTGTGATCTTTTATTAGTGTTATATGTTACTTAGTAATAATTTATGTTTTGCAGGATTGAGTGAAAGAAAAACCAAGATATTAAGGAAGAGTTAATTGATATCATATTATATAGAAATACTTGTTAACAATAAGAAGATTTTAGTAGGCATGACACTTTGTTTCCAGCTAGGTTCTGGGAAGTTTATTTACTAATCATACACAGGTGGTTGGAAAGAAATGTTAATAGTAATGACAGTGGCCACATGTTGTCCATATTAAAAAGTTTGTTGACTATTCATGAGCTGTTTGTAAATAAGTTTCATTAGTTAAGATAATTGCTTAATAATAATCATGTGCACAGCAGTAGTAAAATGTTACATGTTGTAGATCGATAAGTATAAGTTATCTTGTTTACCAAGCATGAGACGGTTGTAAGAACATGTACTAAACATAGCAGCTACATAGTGTATACACTTGAGTAAATGTACTAAGTATGACAGTTTTTGGTAATCACATTTATATTAATAGAAGTAAGTGTTAGAACCTATATATGTGTGTAGGTGTTAGGAGTTTGTAAATAAATGTAAAAGTTACATATCCACCATATCAGTAGTAAAGAAATAATACATAAAACGCTATAAAAATCATGTAAAACAGCTAAATGAAATATAAGTTAAAATTGAAAACAGATGTTAGATCTCCCATAAGTTGCAGAGTGTCAAACATGTGTTTAAAATTTTAAGTTGTATCCCTTTCAGCTGTTTTAAATGAATTTAGTTTTATTAGTAAGCAGAGGTTAGTAAACGCACATATAAGTATTACTAAAGTGTTGTTAAACATAACATTTACTTGATAAGTACACATATACAGGGTTGAATAAATTATATTAAAACAATTTTGAACATGCAAATCAGCAAGTCATATGACAACCACAGTTGATATAAACTCATGGTAGAGCATCTTGTATCAAAATTATGTTTTGACAATGATGTTTCATAGATGGTGTGATGTCAACAAAAATTGATTGCTTTTGGAATGAAAAATATTCACCCACCCAGATAATAAAGATAGGTTCAGATCATGGATTTATAATTTGTACTGTATGGCATTGGAAAACAAAGAAATGTGGATCAACTTGAAGTACCAGGACCATTCGAAATGTGATCTGCAACAAATTGTACTCCAACCGTGGCAAGCAAAGTGTGGCATTTTGTAACAGTACATGAACACTAAGATCAGTGGCAAAATTGATCCACTTGCCCAAGGCAACAGTATGCAATGTAATTAAGAAACAAAAATTAGGAAATTGTCATCTCTATATACTAGATGGACTGTGGAAAGTGTGTAGGGAGGAATGATGTCCTTTGAACATGACATCCTTATGATAGAGCTTTTTCTAATGAAAACTATGCTACAGAATTATTTTTAAGATACATGGTTGTCATATAAAGCATGATCAGACATAATGACACAGACTGTAATGACATGGTGTGGCTTCAAAATAATATAAAGTACTCAACCATCAGTAAGTATATCTGTATTGATAATAAATAGGTGGTATATAAGTGCTATTAAATATATTGGTTAACATGGTAACCATTTATGGTATTAGTAAGGAAATGTAAGTAAGGATAACAGTTAATCCACAATTGTACGTACATTATTTTTAAGGAAGTGCTAATACATGTGACAATCATTATTCCATAAAATATATGTTTTATTGTGCCATTCATCAAAGGTGATCCTGGTATACCTGGATTACCAGGTGAAAGGGGTTTCATTGGTATGCCTGGACAACAAGGTCCGCCAGGACTGATGGGACCAAAAGGTAAAGTAAAAAATTATTCAAAGTAATCAAACATTTTTCTATAGATAAGCTACTTATTGATTAACATTTCACAATTTCTGAATTGACAGTTAAAATTATCACCTATAGTAAGACCAATATATTTTGATCCTGTCTTGTGTAAAAAGTGCAATTTCAAACCATTCCTTGTAATGAAAATGATCCATATTATCAACATTTATGTTGATATATGTTGATGTGTATCCAGCTCTGAGACTTTTGATTGTTTTTATGCTTACTGTGTGCACTTTTTTTGACATTGCAGTTTCTAATGATGACCTATTAAAACACTGGAAAGAAACAGTGGGATCATGATAGAATTGTGTAATCAGGATTGGCAGTCAGTTCAGATCAGGGTTGTATAGCTAAATATAGAATCTGTTTGAGTCAGAGTTGCACAGCCATATTCAACAATAATTACAGATAAAAATTGTATAGCTAGAAACAAAAGTAAGTTCAGATCATATTGATATAGCTAGGTAAAACATAAAATCTAAAATATGTTTGTGCAACTAAGAACAGCATTCATTTTGAGAAAGAGCTGTTTAAGCATGCATAACAACCAGTTTGAAACAAAGTTGTATAGTTAGATATGATATCAGTTTAACACAGAGTTGTATAAGTAGGTGTAAAACAATTAATTTGAAATAGATTTGTATTGTTTAGATGAAACAACCAGCTTGAGAAAAGCTATATGGTTAAGTATAATAATCAGTTTGAGACACTTTTACAGTTAGTTACAACAATCCATTTGAAACAGTTTTATGGTTAGGTACAATAATCAGTTTGAGACAGAGATGCATGGTTAAATACACCAATACGTTTGAGGTAGAGGGATATAATTATGTTCAACCAGTAGCATACATAGAATGTCATGAGCCTGTTTACTGACATTCAGCTAGAATACTGAATAAGTATGTGTATCTCTCACTCCTTTCTTTGTTTTAATACTACCATTTAAAAAAAAGCAGTTTGGGAAAGTTTCTTATTTTTTAACTCTTTATTTTTCTCTTATTGTGATCCACTTTGGTGATGATGTTGACTCTAAGACATATCGCAAGCTTGTCTGTTTTGCATTTTCAAAAACTAACATCACAACTTTAAGTTGCTTAGAAACCTCAGTCAGCAGATCTGTTGATGCTGATTGGCTGATAGCATTTATTGTCTCTTAACTTTTGATCAGTAAGTTAATTAAGAATTGTATCTGTGGTTTAAGTTATATGTACGTAATATAATCACTAAATAATTATGCATGTATGTTTGTGAGCAGGTTGTGTGATTTGCTAAAGGGGAACCTGGGAATAAGGTAAAATATATATGTGTGTGTGTGTGTACATGTATATATATATATATATATATATATATATGTATCTGTATATTTTGTTACCTAACTCCTGGGTCTCCTTGGCATCTGGGCCCCATAGCAATGCTAAGTCTGCTATGGCAGTATGTATGCCAGTAGATTTAATAATCAGTTTGAGATAAAGTTATGCATTTAGGCACAAATCAGTTTGAAATGGAATTGTACAATCAGGTACAACAATGAAATGGAAACAAATGTATTTGCTAAAGAAATACAACATTTTTTAAAACTTGTTTCTTTTCAGTTCTTAAACGTTAAGAAAAACTAAAATAAGTTGCAAAAATGTTGTGTTTTGCTGAGCACATTTTTAGAAAGTTAGATTAGTGCATTGTTGAGAGTTTTGCATTTCCTTTTATTTTGGTTAAACAGGTAACTCTTCTTTCAGTTAAAATGGTAAGGTAATTGCTGAAATACCCTCTGTTCTTGTAGTAGAGATATAAAAATTCAGTAACTGATTTAAAATCTAGGTTTTAAAAATTTTCTCTTATCAAAGAAATAACTTTATATTTTTTAAACTAAAAGCTAATAGACATGAGCATATTTATAGTAAAAGAAACTGAAGATAAGTGTATCCTTTCCCTCTCTTAAGATATATTAGGTCATCAAGAAATTAATGTCGCTTTCTTTTAGATGAAAGAACCCGAACAACTTGTATATCAAAACAAAACATTTATTAAATGAAATATTTTCCATTCTTATCGATGACGCTTTTCCATCTTACAGTCAGGTTGTTATGCCCTGATTAAAGAAATCACTTGGCTTTGAAGCCTTTAACACCTTCCACATTTGCATACGTTTTTCCATTAAGATGGTGTTGCAGCGAACGAGAAAGATGGTAATTTGATGCTGTCATACCTGGAGAATATGGTGGGTGGGGGAGAACTTCCCAACTCAACTCCATAATCTTGAGTTGCGTCAAACGTGCCACATGTGGACATTCATTGTCGTGGAGAACATCTTTCCGATTCACGAGTGAAGGATGTTTCTGATGAAGGTCTTGATTTAAATGTTCCAGTTGCTGACTATCGATCTTTGTATTGACAATTCGCTGTGGATTGAGGAGTTCAAAATGAATTACTCCTTTGATGTCCCACCAAAGCATCACTTTCTGCAGAAGTAGTCCAGGTTTTGGGATTGGAAGTGGTTTTTGTCTAGGACTGAGCCATTGTGTTTGGCATTTAATACTTGCATAGAGAATCCATTTTTTACCACCAGAGACAATTCTGTCCAAAAATGATTCATTCGCATTATGCGCCAGAAGAGACTCAGCAACATTCACTCGGTAAAAACAATGATCATCAGAGAGTTTGTGAGACACACAAACACCTTCTTTATGGTGTTTTCCTATATTCCTTAGATGTTTACATATTGTTTCATGAAAGACATGCAATTTCAGAGCCAATTGACAAGTGTGTTACCTTGGGTTAGACTCAACAAGCGTCTTCCGAACATCAATATCAATTCCAACATGTCAGCCCCTGCCATTACAGTTTTTAAAGTCACCAGAACAAAATTTGCCAAACCATCATTGACACTTACTAATGTTCAAAACATTTCCATAAACATTGATATTCTTAGTGGCTACAGAGGCATTGTTTCCCTTCTTGTATTCAAACAGCATTACATGCTGAATGTGTGTCTCATCTGTGCCATCACTATAAGGGATTAGAGCATACTAAACTTTACATGTTATATAGGCTACACTAACGTGACGTTTAGGCAGTTCATTTAACTATTATACATAATGTATGTTTTTTGGTGGGTTGTTAATGAAAGTGTTCCAAAACACAACATTAACTTCTTGACGCCCTAATATATCTAGCTTTATCTAGTAGTGTCATATGTTGTCATTCTAAGTGGTTTGGTGAATGCTTTTATTTACTAAAATTGTATTCTTCAGTAATTGACTCATTTTTCAGAAAATGTAACTTAATGATAAAGCAAAACACAAACATGATAATAGGAAGCATTTATTAAACATTTCAGAATCATCATAATTCCATCATTAGTAATCTGGAGGTACAAAACAAACAAACAATATTTGTAATTAAAACAGAAATATATACGTAAGAAGTAAACAATCTGAATATACATTATAACACAAGAAAATGAAAATGTGGCACAGATGAAATGGTTAAAATAAGTTTAAATTAAGTAAAGACTGTGTATTATTTAGGGATGGAAGGAGAGTTTTTATGTACAATGTTTCTTTTATAACAAGTTCAGTATCATGTTTGGCTGTTGAGAGAATTTTAAAGTCAGAGAGAGAAATTGGATGTCCCATTTCTGTAATCTGCTGATAGATAGTGGAGTTGGGAGGGTTTGTAACCTCTCTTCCAGTTTTTATAGATATGCCCACATGTTTGCATGCTCGTACTTTAAGGTGACATTTGTGCATGTGTATAAGTAGACAAGATATGAATAATGGGCAGTTGGCAAATGATCTTTGTAGTGGAAATTTGTTTTTTTTTGGAAAAAAGGTTACAAACCCTCCCAACTCCATTATCTATCAGCACAATACAGAAATGGGACATCCCATATATATCTCCCACTTTAAAATTCTCTCAACAGCAAAACATGATACTGAACTTCTTATAAATGAAATATTATACATAAAAACTGTCCTTCCATCTCTAAATAACAAAAACTCTTCAGTTAATTTAAACTTATTTTAACTATTTCATCTGTGCCACATTTTCATTTTCTTGTGTTAAATTGTATATTCAAATTGTTTACTTCTTATGTATATATTTCTGTTGTAATAACAAATATTGTTTGTTTGTTTTGTTCCTCTAGATTACTGATGATAGAATTATGATGATTCCTATTATCATGGTCGTGTATTCTTCAGCTCTTAATACTATAAGTTTTCTTATCTTATGTAAGTTCATATGCATTGTATTTGGATGAAAAATCTGTGTTTTAAAAAACTGTAACATCCTTTTATCACAGCAAAAGAGATCAAATAAAGCTTTCTTAATTAACATCACTTAAAATTAACTTCAGTTTCTTAGTGCAATTCATCCTAACGTTGTAACTGTTTGAACTTAAGGAAGTCGAGGTGACAAAGGTGATCGTGGCCCAGAAGGAGTTGGTATAGAAGGTCCTATGGGACTGAGAGGTTTACCAGGTAAGTGAAGTTTAACTTTGTTTCATTTCACTTATATAAAAGCTAATTGTCCCATTAAAAAGGATTATTTTAACTCAGGAAAGTATTCTGATTAGTTTTTATCAGGAAGAAAAATGTTGTAATGGGCTATTATTTTTATTTAGGATCTTAAATACCCAAGTTTTGTTGAAAAATGATCCATCTTCATTTATAAATAAAACTTGTTTTTGACACTGAAATATGAAATGACTAAACTTTTATGTAAAATAAATCTTTTGAATGTACATGCAGAAAATATTTTTATTCAATTCAAGGATAATATTCAGCCAACTATTTATTTTTGTTGTTTTTTACACTTCAATTAGATGTAAGTGGTTTTTATGTTTCACAAATTTATGCACATTTTGACCTACAGTTATCTTTAACTTTAATTTGAATATTCAGGTCCTCCAGGCCCTACAGGAACTGGACTTCCTGGACGTGCTGGAGAACGAGGTCCCCCAGGAAGGCAAGGAGTTCCAGGTGTACGGGGTCCACCTGGACCTCAGGGTCCACCAGGATACTGTGAGGTCTGCAATTACCGAGGAGTTGATCTTGCTAATGCGCTTCATCAGCTACCTACTTCTCAGGACAATAAGGGACCTGCAAATTAATAATGTGAAGAACTATAGGTTTAAAAATACACCGTATGCCTGAAAATTTCTGACCCTACTTTATCAAGTTTCATCTTTCATTAAAGATGTATAAAATCTATTCCAACTTTTGGGGAATGAAAACGTTTTAAGTGAATTAAATAAATATTATCAACTTGTCACACTGTATAGATATA